AAATAAACCTTATTAAATAAAAAGCTTAGGGATGACTAAAGAAAACAAGAGTAAAATGAAAAGGGAATAAACCATATGGGAAAATATATTTGCAAATGATACCTTGGACAAGGTTTCTTTTTTTAAAGCAAATTCTTTTTCAAAAACATTTAATAAAGATGCTATTTACTTATTTTTAGGGAGAGGGGAAGGGAGAAAGAGTTGGGGAGAAACATTAATGTGTGATTGCCCCCACTGGGCTTCTGGCCTGCAACCCAGGTATGTGTCCTAACTGGGAATTAAATCAGGGATGCTTTGGTTCTCAATCAACTGAGCCACACCAGCCAGGGCTTGGACAAGGGTTTGATCTCCAAAATATATAAGGAATTCACATGACTTCACTCCAGGAAGACAAAAAACATAATAAAAATGAGCAAAGGACCTGAACCAACACTTCTCTAAGGAGAACATACAAAATTTCCAGAAACATATGATCTGGGACTTCTTCATGTGCTTTTTGATGTCTTGTAATGCTGAGCATCACGAGCCATCAGAGAGATAAAAATTAAAATCGCAATTAAGTATCACTTCACAGTTGTCAGAATGACCATCATAAACAAATCAACAAACAACAAGGGTTAGAGAGGTTGTGGAGTAAAGGAAACACTAGTACACTGTTGGTGAGAATGCAGACTGGTGTAGCCACTGTGGAAAACACTATGGAATTTCCTCAGAAAACTAAAAATATAACTTCTGTTTGACCCAGCAATCCCACTGCTGGGATTATACACTAAGAATCCTGAAACACCAATTCAAAAGAACCCATGTACCCCAATGTTCATAGCAGCACAATTTACAATAGCCAAGTGCTGCTAGCAACCCAAGTGCCCATCAGTAAATGAGTGGATCAAAAAACTATGGTACATTTACAGGAACTAGTTAGTATAAAGGACACATGGACAACAACTAATGGGGGTGGAAATGGGAGGGAGGTGGGGAGCACTGGGTGGGTGGACCAGGATGGGAGTAAAAGACAGAAAACTGTACTTGAACAACAATTAAATAAATTTAAAAAAGAAAATAAACTACTGGATGGAGTGTAAAAAAACAAACTATGGTACATTTACACAATGGAATACTATTCAGCAGAAAGAAAGAAGAAGCTCCTACCCTTCATGACAGCATGAATGGAACGGGAGAGTATTATGCTAAGTGAAATAAGCCAGCCTATGAAAAAGAAATACCATATGATCTCACCTATATGTGGAACCTAATCAGGAAAACAAGCAAGTATAATAGAACCAGAGACATTGAAATAAAGAACAAATTGACAGTAACCAGAGGACAGGGGAAAAAGGAATAATGAGGGAAAATGTATAAAGGACACATGAGCAGATCCAAAGGGGATAGCTTAGACAGTGGGAAGCAGGGATGGGTAGGGTGGTGGTTCATTGTGGGGTGAAAATGGAGAAAACTGTACTTGAAAAACAATAAAAAGAGAGAAAGAACACACTGACAGTAACCAGAGGAATGACAGGAGGGCAATAATGGGGGAAAGAAAGTAAAATATCATCAAGGAACATGTATAAAAGACCTTTAGATAAACCAAAAGGGGATAGGTCTGAGTGTGGGAGGTGGAGCTCAGTGGGGAAAGTGACAGTGATGGGGAGAAAGAGGAGATAACTGGATTTGAACAACAATAAAAAATATAGGCATTTATATATTTATAATAAATGCATAGATAGTTGGTATATTCTCAAATAAGTTTTCAATTATTAGCTTAGCAATTAATGAATATATTATCAAGTGCCTATATACTAATGTGGATATGAGTAACTATATAGAGAAAATACTAAATTCATTATTTTCAAACTTTATCTTTATTGTTATCTTTTTATGTAATGTGTTGATTTTTATTAATTTTTCAATCATTTTACTTCCAACTTTTTATCAAATTAATTCAAATTTATCAAAGGTAGATGAGGCTAAGCATACATATTTTGCTTTGATGAAATTAACCTAAGGACTTCCGCCAAGATGGAGGCATAGGTGGATGTGCCGTGCCTTCTCACACAACCAAGTTTAGAGACAACTAAATATTAGCAACAGAAAACACAGCCAGAAAACGGAAAATTGAACTTTTCAGAAGTCCGTTAACAACAAATTCTTCAGCCTGACCGGTAAGGGGCGAAACCAGCGGCTGGTGAAGCGGGGTTGCACAGGAGGTCTCCGTCAGCCGAACTCAGGCGCGGAATCCAGGCGCGGAATCCAGGCGCAGGGTTGGACCTAGTGAGCGACCGAGCGAGCGACCGCTGGGGAGACAGCGGGGGAGCAGTGCTGCCTGTTGACTGTGGTCGCGCATTTGTGCGTGGGCGGACAGGCGAGGGAGTGGGCGGTTGGACCGGGGCCGGCGGATCCCCATGGCAAGCGGCAGTGGAGGGCGCCGCCATTTCCTCGCTCTGACCCCACCTCCACATACAGCATCATAACCCAGCGACTCTGAGTGGCCCGGCCCAGGTGAACCACCTAAGACGCTAATCCTCACCCAGCTGTGAGAAACAGCAGAGGGGGTCGCCATTTCCCCGCTCAGACCATGCCCCCACATACAGCGTCACAACCCAGGGACCTGGGAGTCCAAGGCACCGCTTCTCACACTTAAAGGGCCAGAACAGACCCAAAATGTTGCAAGATCTAAAAGCCCCAGAACCTATAGATCTAAGCGATGAAGAAATAGCAAAACTCTCAGACGCACAGTTTAAAACACTGGTCATCAGGATCCTCACAGAACTGGTTGATTATACCGACAAATTAGACAAATATATGAAGGCAAAACTAATTGAAATGAATGGAATTGCACAGGACACCAATAGCAATGAAAAGGAAACTGGGACTCAAATCAATGGAGTGGACCAGAAGAAAGCAAATAATGGCCAAACAGAAAAGAGTCAAGAAGCAAGAATTCAAAGAAATGAGGAGAGTCTTAGGAACCTCCAGGACATCTTTAAACACTCCAACATCCGAATTATAGGGGTACCAGAAGGGGGAAAGGCACAACCACCAGTGGAAAACTTATTTGAACAAATAATAAAGGAGAATTTCCCCAATCTGGCAAAGGAAATAGACTTCCAGGAAATCCAGGAAGCTCAGAGAGTGCCAAAGAAGTTGGACCCAAGAAGGAACACACCAAGGCACATCATAATTACATTAGCCAAGATGAAAATGAAGGAGAGAATCCTAGAAGCAGCAAGAGCTAAGGGGACAGTCACCTACAAAGGAGTCCCCATCAGACTGTCAGCGGATTTCTCAAAAGAGACCTTCCAGGCAAGAAGGGGCTGGAAAGAGGTATTCCAAGTCATGAAAACCAAAGACCTACAACCAAGATTGCTCTATCCAGCAAAACTTTCATTTAGAATGGAAGGACAGATAAGGTGCTTCTCAGATAAATTCAAATTCAAGGAGTTCATCATCACCAAGCCCTTATTATATGAAATGTTAAAGGGAATTACCTAAGAAAAAGAAGATAAAAAAGATGAACAGTGAAAGGACAGCAAACTCACAGTTATTAACAACCACACCTAAAACAAAAGCAAATTAAGAGGACAGCTAGATCAGGAGCAGAAACATAGAAATGAAGATCACATGGAGGGTTAGCAACAGGGGAGTGGGAGAAGATGAAGGGGGGAGAAGGTACAGAAAATAAGTAGCATAGACAGTAGATAGAAAATAGATGGGGGGGCAAGAATAGCATGGGAAATATAGAATCTAAAGGAATTGAGACATATGGTCATAAACTAAAGGGGGGTAATGGTGGGGATGGGGGGTAGGGTGGAGGGGAATGAAGGGGGGAATAGAACAACTGTAACAGCATAATCAATAAAAAAATTAAAAAAAAAACAAAAAAAAGAGAAATTAACCTAAAGTAAAGACTGGATTTTACTTGGAGCGTAGCTTTGTCCTTGAAGAATGTGAAGGAAGCCACTACCAGCATACCACTGAGTGAAGCCTGTGGTGGGCACGTAGCTTGGAGGTGAGAGGTGCACACTATAGCCAAGCCAGCATATAACTGGACTGTATCTGTATCTCCATAGGCTTATATGAATTCTGCTCAAAATTGTATCATTTACATGAAAATTGCACTGGTTGCCTTTGCTATTGATTATTTCTAAGGTTCAAGTATTTTAGCAAGAAAATATTAAAATTTAAAATGCAGCATAATCTTTGTTCAACTCAACTGTTTTTCTTAACAATTATTTAAAAATGTGAGAAAAAAACATTAAAAACCTTGGTTTCTATACTATTTGATATATTACTGTAGTCTCAGTTGAAAATGTATAGATTTTAATGAGCTTTATTTAATCTGTTCTTTTGCTATTTCCCCTGTGTGTATACATAGATATGCATACTTTTCATGGTTCTCTATTTTTAACACTTTTGTGTCTTTTTATGAGAACACATTGTCTCAAAATATCAACTGCTCATTATCAACAGAATTCAGAGGGAGGGATGTTAGAAACCTCTTTAAATAAAAACACTGCTGCTTGCCTTGACTGATGGGGTTCACTTGATTGGGTGTTGTCCCACAGAGTGAAATGTTGCTCATTTGACTCCAGTCAGGGCACATTGGTGGTGGCCATGGTAACTGTTTGGGGTGTGTGTGAGAGGCAACCAATGGAGGTTTCTCTCATATATGGATGTTTCTTTCTCTCTCTTTCTCTCTCCCTTCCACACTCCCTAAAAATAAATAAATAAAATCTTTAAAAAAGAAACCTAGCCTTGGCTGGTGTAGCTCAGTGGCTTGAGCGTGGGCTGCAAACCAAAGTGTCGCTGGTTGGATTCCCAGTCAGGGCACAGGCCTGGGTTGCAGGCCAGGTCCCCAGTGGGGGCCATGTGAGAGGCAACTGCACATTGATATTTCTCTCCCTCTCTTTCTCCTTCCCTTCCTCTCTCTCTAAAAATAAATAAATAAAATCTTAAAAAAAACAACAGAAAGATAAAGTTAAAAAAAAAAAGAAACGGGGACACTAGTGGTGCTAGCTTACGGGATCATTCTCACCTAGGGGCCTGAGGAGATAAGGTTTAGCCATGGCGTCCTTAATCAGAAAGGTGATCAGCACCTCGAGAGCTCCAGCGGCCATTGGTCCCTACAGTCAGGCTGTGCTGGTGGACAGGACCATTTACGTCTCGGGACAGCTGGGCATGGACCCTTCCAGCGGGCAGCTTGTGCCGGGAGGGGTGGCGGCAGAGGCTAAGCAGGCTCTCACAAACATGGGTGAAATTCTGAAAGCTGCAGGCTGTGACTTCACTAATGTGGTAAAAACAACTGTTTTGCTGGCTGACATAAATGACTTCAATACTGTCAATGAGATCTACAAACAGTACTTCAAGAATAATTTTCCTGCAAGAGCTGCTTACCAGGTTGCTGCTTTGCCCAAGGGAGGCCGTGTTGAGATCGAAGCCATCGCTGTCCAGGGCCCTCTCACAACAGCTTCACTCTAAGTGGGCCGAGTGCTGTTTAGTCTGGAGTTTTCATAATGTTTTTGAATTAATGTCTTAATTTTTATAGTGGACATTGGGAAGTATACGACTGACTAAAATAGCTGAAGGATTATGGAAATATAATATAATAAGGGGAATGGAACATGAATTGCAAATGAGACGAATCCAGTTACCGATACTGTAAGTTTCATTTATGCACTCAGATGACTGGATGTGAGGAAGAAAGAGTATACCTACTTCAATTAAGTCCTTTTTAATCTAATGTTGTGAAATATTTCATTCTCATGTCAGACATATGATTCTGCTTTCACTTGAGTAAAAAAGATTTAAGTTTGAATGGCAGAGGTAAAGGAAAAGAAAGTGGACCAAAATTTTATATAACATTTTTCTAATGGCAATAAAATAGACATGCAGATTTTCCTTGGTGTGATTCTGTCCACTTATTTTTAATGGTTTAATTTCTACACTAGAGCACATTACCTAATTAAAGATGGGGGACCATGGAGAGACCATAAAACGCCACGTATTTTTTTCTCAAAACTTGTTTCTGACTTCCATCTTTACACTGTTGTAATCTGTGTAAATATTTTGTGTTTGTTCTTAAAGTCTTTTAACATTTTTAGACAACTACTACATGATTACCTCCATGTTGTAGACTAAATTTGAGCACAAAGATTATATAGATTGAGAAGTAAAAGTCTCTTTCAGTCACTCTCCATTCCACTTACCTCCCCAAAGAGAACCTCTGCTAAGACTTTCGAACGTGACCAGCCGGTGGTTTTCTGCGTGTACATGCCTGATCATCGAAGTGCGGCTGTGGCTGGTTCACACAAATGGGGCTCCACTGTGCACACAGGTTTACAGTTGTTCACATGGAAAGTAATACAATGATTAATAACACAAGAATAAACTGTGTTTTGCACACCCCCAACTGTAAACCCACTTTTGTGCCCCACCCTGCATTGTTCTATATATACTCTCTTCTGTATGGAAAGTAATACAATGATTAATAACACAAGAATAAACTGTGTTTTGCACACCCCCCCCCCAAAAAAAAAAGAAACCTAAAACAATGTTGTTTAACATAACAGGGAAAAACCTTCAAAATACCTCCTGGAAGAAATGATGAATTAATATCTTGTAAGGTCTTTTTTCTGAGGTAGGTCTCTTGTAGGCAGTGTATGTGCCAGTCACATTTCTTATCCACTTAGCTACCCTATGTCTTTTGATTGGAGCATTTAATCCATTTACATTTAAGGTTATCATTAATAGGTACTTATTCACTTTCCCCCTTCTGTACCCATGTTCCTCTCTCTCACGACTTTCCTTCCTTTTTTCAAAATATATTTTATTGATGATGCTATTACAGTTGTTCCATTTCTCCCCCCTCACTCCCCTCCACACAGCACACCCTTTCCCACCCACATTCCCCACTCCTTTAGTTCGTGTCCATATGTCATACTTATAAGTTCTTTAGCTTCTACATTTCCCATAGTATTTTTCCTTCCCTCTGTTTATTTTCTACCTACCATTTATACTACTTATTCTTTATACCTTTTCCCCCCATCTCCTCCTCCCACTCCCTTGTTGCTAACTTTCCATGTGATTTTCATTTCTGTGTTTTTGTTCCTGTTCTAGTTATTTGCTTCATTTATTTTTGTTTTTGTTTTAGGTGCGGTTGTTAATATTTGTGAGTTTGTTGTCATTTTACTGTACATTTTTTTATTTTTTTCTTAGATAGTTTCTTTAACATTTCATATAATAAGGGCTTGGTGATGATGAACTCCTTGAATTTGATCTTATCCGAGAAGCACTTATCTGCCCTTCCATTCTAAATGAAACCTTTGATGGACAGAGAAATCTTGGATGTAGGTCCTTGCCTTTCATGACTTGGAATACCTCTTTCCAGCCCCTTCTTACCTGTAAGGTCTCTTTTGAGAAATCATCTGACAGTCTGATGGGAACTCCTTTGTAGGTTACTGTCTCCTTATCTCTTGCTGCTTCTAGGATTCTCTCCATTTTAATCTTGGGTGATGCAGTTATGATGTGCCTTGGTGTGTTCTTCCTCGGGTCCAACTTCTTTGGGGCTTTTTGAGCTTCCTGGACTTCCTGTAAGTCTATTTCCTTTGCCAGATTGGGGAAGTTCTCCTTTATTTTTTGTTCAGATAATTTTTCTACTTGTTGTTCTTCCTCTTCCCCTTTTGGTACCCCTATAGTTCAGATGTTGGAACGTTTAAAGATGTCCTGGAGATTCCTAAGCCTCTCATTTTTTTGGATTCTTGTTTCTTCAGTCTTTTCTGATTAAATGTTTTTTTCTTTCTTCTGGTCCACTTGATTGATTTTAGTTCCAGTTTCATTTCCATCACTATTGATTCCCTGTGCATTTTCCTTTATTTTACTTAGCATAGTCTTTATTTTTTCATCTAATCTGTGACCAATTCAACCAATTCTGTGAGCATCGTGATCACCAGTGCTTTGAACTATGCATTTAATAGGTTGGCTACCTCTTTGTTGTTTAGTTGTGGTTTTTTTTTTCTGGAGCTTTGATCTGTTCTTTCATTTGGGCCATTTTTTTTGTCTTGGTGGGGCTGTTACATAGTGAGGGGTGGAACTGTAGGTGTTCACCAGGGCAGGGTAACCCACATCTCTAGGTTGTGATGCTGTATGTGCAGAAGGGGTACGAGAGGGATCAGTGGTGCTTTCTCTGCTCTTTGCCAAATTTCATTCACTTCCCCCACTTTCTTGAGGCAAACTGGGCCCTTCTGGTGCTGATTCTCATGTGGGTGGGTTTGTGTACCTTCTAGGACTCTGTGGGTTTCTTCAACAAACTCTCCTGTGAGGGTGGGAGCTCTCGCCACATCTCAACCCTAACAGGTATTTTCAATTGGTGTTTTGAGGCTTTATTTCCCTGTGCTGGGACCCTGGACAATGTGGTCTGTCTCACTCCCCAGTTCTGCCTGGTTTATCTGTGGGTGAATGTGGGACCACCTGGTTCTGCAAGCCACCTTGTGCACCAAGCCCCTCAGCAATCCATTGCTTCACTGGGTCCACCCACTGCCACTTTGCATTCCTGCTGGGGTCCACCAGCCACCTTTTTTTGTTGTTGTTGTGACCCCTCTTCGCCTGGCTACCCAACTCTAGCCCTCTTACCAGTCTAGATTAATGTGTCTACTTTAACTTCTTGGTTGTTGGACTTCCATACAGTTAAATTTTCTGTTAGTGCTTGTTGGGAACCACTCTGCCTGGTTTCAGGTGTTGTAACTGCCCCCCTGGATAAGTCTGAGTATGCGACCTTTGGAATGCGAGCCACTAAGGAGACAAAGCTTGTCTCTGGTAGCAAACGCTGCTTCTGCTTCATCTTCTTGCTCCCAGTGCATGGTCGGATAGTTGATGATGGGTAAGACCCCTCAGAGGAGGGGCAACGTAAGCTAGACATGATCACTTGGGAGGCCATCATGGAAGGACTCAGGGGGCTGCAACAAAAAGGGAGTGATGGACCCTCGCCTCCTCACTATTCTGACATAGCCTGAGTCCTCAGGGAGAAGCGCTTTCTGGCTCTAATACACTTAAGCCTAAAAACCTGTGATGGGGGAGGCAGTGCAGCCCCTTGTCAGCTAGAGTGGGATGGGGTGATTGGGCATAAGAAAGAGTTCTTAAAAGTCCTGTGAAGCCTGCTTTGCTAAGAGTGTTTTCATTCATATAATAAGGGTCCAAGCAGGAAATGAGTATGTCTCCCAAAGTATCTACAACCCCATTTTCTGACAGACACTGACTCAGACTAAGCCCTCAGATTTCTTTGAAATGTTATTTACTGTTTGATCCTTGCCACTTGTATTCCTGTGTATTACAACCCAATAAAACCCCTTGAGGAAGGGGCTCTTGGCTTTTTTCCTCTGAGAAACTGGCCACCTCTCCTCCTCAACCAGATTATGTCTTGGTAGTGTTACTTTCATCCGTGGTAGATGGGCGGACTTGCTGGCAAAGTTGCCCCTACAAGTGATGGTTGTTATTTTGTGTCTAAATTTTTGTTGTCCTTATTTTGGTTGTGTGGAGAGGGACAGTGTGTCTACCTAACTCTCCACCTTGGCTGGAAGTCTCCCTTCCTCTTCTTATAGAACTCTCTTAGTATATTTTGCAGTGTTGGTTTGGTGTACGTGTGTTCTTTCCACGCTCTTTTGTCTAGAAAATTCCTTTTTTCACCTTCAATTTTATTTTACTTCGTTGTTTTAAATTCATTTTATTTTATTTTTATTGTTGTTCAAGTACAGTTTTCTGCCTTTCCCCCCAGCTTTGCCCACCTCCCTCCCATTACTACCTGCCACCCTTCCTTTTATTATCCATGTGAACTTTGTAGTTGTTCCTGCAAACCCTTCACCATTTTCCTGAAATTCCCTCCCCTCTCCCTTCTCGTCACTGTCAGCTTGTTCTCAATTTCAGTGTCTTTGTTTATATTTTGCTTGTTTGTTTGTTTTCTTAATTAGGTTCCTGTTAAAGGTGAGATCATATGGTATTTGTCTTTCACCTCCTAGCTTATTTCGCTTAGCATAATGCCTTCCAGTTCCATCCATGCTGTTGCAAAGGGTAGGAGCTCCTTTTATTCTGCTGCATAGAATTCCATTGTGTAAATGTACTATAGTTTTTTGATCCATTCATTTACTGATGGGCACTTGGGTTGCTTCCATTACTTAGCTATGGTAAATTGTGCTGCTATGAACATTGGAGTGCACAGATTCTTCTGAATTGGTGTTTCAGTGTTCTTAGGATATAATTCTAGCAGTAGAATTGCTGGGTCAATAGGCAGATCCATATTTAGTTTTCTGAGGAAATTTCGTACGGTTTTTCATAGTGGTTGTACCAGTCTGTCCTCCCACTAAAAGTGCACCAGGGTTCCCTTTTCTCCACAACCTCTCCTGACGCGGACACGGGCTCACAGGGACCGTGCAGATATGGATGAGATACGAGACAAATTCACACAAACTATTGAGTCTTGTGGAGGAAAAGGGATGGCTCAGCTATTCCCTCAAGTGGGGAGCACCCCAGAGGGGCCTAGTCACTCTGTCAAGGGAAGAGCGCTGCACGCCCTTGCCTAGACAGGCTTTTATTGGGTTTACTTTGTGTAGGAATACAGGTACAGCTCATTAATCATTGTCAGGCAGTAAAGATTAAACAATAGATAACATATAAAGAACTCTGAGGGCCTCTTCTGAGTCAGGGTCTATTAGCTAAAAGGCTATAAAACTTTGGGAAACAAACTCAGTTCCTGCTCAGACCTTTATCATTTAATTTAGAGCATTCTCAGCAAGCAGGTTACACAGGATTTTATATATTATTTTTCAGGCCTAATCTCCCGGGGAGCCTGCTCTATCCAGCACAGGGCTGCACTGCCCTCTGTCATTGTTTTAGGCTTAAGTCAGGCAGAGGAAGCAAGATAGCCAGGAAATTAGGAGACTCCTCGCAGACAGAATGAGGACTCAGGCTTTGTCAAAGCTGAGGGGCAAGGGTCAATTACCCCCTTACTCTATAGCCCCCCAAGTCCTTCCCTGAGGCCTCCACATGATCATGCCTGTCTTAGGTCATCCCCCCCTTGGGGAATCTTACTTGTCATTGGCTAACTGATCAACCATTGGGGGTCAGTTATGAAGGAAGGAGCAGAACTGGTGCTCCTGCCAGGGAGATAAGCTTTGTTTCTTTAATGGCCCATGGTCCAAACATCACTCACTTAGCCTTAGCTGTTGGGGGGTAACAGTTCCTCTAACCAGGCAGGGTGGTTCCCACCACTCCCCAACATTTGCTGTTTGTTGCTTTGTTTATAATGGCCATTCTGACCAGTGTGAAGTGGTACCTCATTGTGGTTTTAATTTGTAGCTCTCTAATAGCTAGTGATATTGAGCATTTTTTCATGTGTCTATGGATCTTCTGTATGTCCTCTTTGGAGAAGTGTCTGTTCAAGTCCTTTGCCCACTTTTTAATTGGGTTGCTTGTCTTCTTAGAGTTGAGTCTTAGAGTAAGTTCTTAGTATATTTTGGAGATTAAGCCCT